TTCACACTCTAACTTTAGTTTAAGTGAATGGATCTCTATGAAATTTTACCACAAGGTTCAATACCACAAAAGGAAGGTTGGGATTGATTTTGGGGGTTATGGTACCAATAGTAAAGGAATAAGGGGCCAAAAAGGGGCCAAAAATAAGCATTTTTGTAACTTCCAGACATAACTTGTGTGTTAGTGTATGGATCTCTCTGACATTGTACCACAAGGTTCCATATCACAAAAGGAATGCTTGGATTGATTTTGGGGGTAATTGCCTCAAAATTTTAGGAATTAGGGGCCAAAAAAGGGCCAAAAAACAAGCATTTTTCTAGTTTCATGACAATAACTTGTGTGTAAGTGTATGGATCTTTCTGAAATTGTACTACAAGGTTCCATATCTCAAAGGGAAAGCTGGAATTGAGTTTGGGGGTAATTGCCGAAACGTTTAAGAATTGGGGGCCAAAAATAAGCATTTTTATACGACCGCAAAAATTAAAAATTTTTTGGTCGTATATTGGTATGACGTTGGCGTCGTCGTCATCGTCGTCGTCGTCGTCGTCGTCGTCCGGCGTCGTCCGAAGACACATTGGTTTTCGCACTCTAACTTTAGTTTAAGTGAATGGATCTCCATGAAATTTCACCATAAGGTTCAATACCACAAAAGGAAGGTTGGGATTGATTTTGGGGGTTATGGTACCAACAGTTAAGGAATTAGGGGCCAAAAAGGGGCCAAAAATAAGCATTTTTGTAACTTTCAGACAATAACTTGTGTGTAAGTGTATGGATCTCTCTGACATTGTACCACAAGGTTCCATATCACAAAGGGAAGGCTGTAATTGATTTTGGGGGTAATTGCCTCAAAATTTTAGGAATTAGGGGCCAAAAAAGGGCCAAAAAACAAGCATTTTTCTAGTTTCATGACAATAACTTGTGTGTAAGTGTTTGGATATTTCTGAAATTGTACTACAAGGTTCCATATCACAAAGGGAAAGCTGGAATTGAGTTTGGGGGTAATTGCCCGAAACGTTTAGGAATTGGGGGCCAAAAAGGGGCCAAAAATAAGCATTTTTCTAGTTTCCAGACAATAACTTGTGTTCAAGTGTATTGATCTCTCTGAAATTGTACTGCAAGGTACCATACCACAAAGGGAAGGCTGGGATTGAGTTTGGGGGTGATGAATCATAAGGGGGTTCAAAAAATTGGGGGAGGGGATTTTTTTTTTTTTGTCTTTTTTTCCTTTTTTTTTTCTTTTAAAATTTTCCATTTTAAGTTGGTTATTTCTGATTAATATTTAAAAGCAAATAATAATGATATGGTAGGAGATACACACCAAACAGGATGTGTAAATTATTATATAATAAGTATTGTGCAATAGCAAGAAATTTTCAATTGCACAGTATTGCACAATAGCAAGAAATCTTCAATTTAACAGTATTGCGCAATAGCAAGAAATATCCAATAGCACAATATTGCGCAATAGCAAGAAATTGTCAATTGTACAGTATTGCGCAATAGCAAGAAATATTCAATTGCACAGTATTGTGCAAAAGAAGATACTTCGTATAAATTGCTTATTTCTTGATCAATTTCAATGGGGTTTTATTCTTGAATTCTTGGGGTTCTTTAATATGCTGAATCTAACCGTGTATTAAGTTTTTGGATTTTGGGCCCCGTTTTTAAATTGGTCCACATTGAGGTCCAAAGGGTCCAAAATTAAACTTTGTTTGATTTCATCAAAAATTGAATTATTGGGGTTCTTTGATATGCCGAATCTAACCGTGTATTTAGATTTTTAATTTTGGGTCCCGTTTTTTAAATTTGTCTACATTAAGGTCCAAAGGGTCCAAAATTAAACTTAGTTTGATTTTAACAAAAATTGAATTCTTAGGGTTCTTTGATATGCTGAATCTAAACATGTGTTTAGATTTTTGATTATGGGCCCAGTTTTCAAGTTGGTCCAAGTTGGGGTCCAAAATTAAACTTTGTTTGATTTCAACAAAAATTGAATATATGGGGTTCTTTGATATGCTGAATCTAAACATGTATTTAGATTTTAGATTTTTGGCCCAGTTTTCAAGTTGGTCCAAATTGGGGTCCAAAATTAAACTTTGTTTGATTTCAACAAAAATTGAATATATGGGGTTCTTTGATATGCTGAATCTTACCATGTATTTAGATTTTTTATTTGTGGGCCCGCTATCAAATTGGTTCATATTGAGGTCAAAAGGGTCCAAAATTAAACTTTGTTTGATTTCATCAAAAATTGAATTATTGGGGTTCTTTGATATGCTAAATCTAACCGTGTATTTAGATTTTTAATTTTGGGTCCTGTTTTTTAAATTTGTCTACATTAAGGTCCAAAGGGTCCAAAATTAAACTTAGTTTGATTTTAACAAAAATTGAATTTTTGGGGTTCTTTGATATGCTGAATCTAAACATGTGTTTAGATTTTTGATTATGGGACCAGTTTTCAAGTTGGTCCAAGTTGGGGTCCAAAATTAAACTTTGTTTGATTTCAACAAAAATTGAATATATGGGGTTCTTTGATATGCTGAATCTAAACATGTATTTAGATTTTAGATTTTTGGCCCAGTTTTCAAGATGGTCCAAATTGGGGTCCAAAATTAAACTTTGTTTGATTTCAACAAAAATTGAATATATGGGGTTCTTTGATATGCTGAATCTTACCATGTATTTAGATTTTTTATTTGTGGGCCCGCTATCAAATTGGTTCATATTGAGGTCAAAAGGGTCCAAAATTAAACTTTGTTTGATTTCATCAAAAATTGAATTATTGGGGTTCTTTGATATGCCAAATCTAACTGTGTTTTTAGATTTTTAATTTAGGGTCCCGTTTTTTAAATTTGTCTACATTAAGGTCCAAAGGGTCCAAAATTAAACTTAGTTTGATTTTAACAAAAATTGAATTCTTCGGGTACTTTGATATGCTGAATCTAAACATGTGTTTAGATTTTTGATTATGGGACCAGTTTTCAAGTTTGTCCAAGTTGGGGTCCAAAATTAAACTTTGTTTGATTTCAACAAAAATTGAATATATGGGGTTCTTTGATATGCTGAATCTAACCATGTATTTTGATTTTGGACATTGGACCATAATAGGTAAATTAAAAAAATTGAAGTTCTTAGACCACATTCTTTCTGTGTCAGAAACCTATGCTGTGTCAAATATGTAATCACAATCCAAATTCAGAGCTGTATCAAGCTTGAATGTTGTGTCCATACTTGCCCCAACTGTTCAGGGTTCGACCTCTGCGGTCGTATCAAGCTGCGCCCAGCGAAGCATTTTATTCTAGTTTCCAGACAATAACTTGTGTTCAAGTGTATGGATCTCTCTGAAATTGTACTGCAAGGTACCATACCACAAAGGGAAGGCTGGGATTGATGATGGGGGTAATTGCCTCAATATTTTAGGAATTAGGGGCCAAAAAGGGACAAAAAACAAGCATTTTTCTAGTTTCAGGACAATAACTTGTGTGTAAGTGTATGGATCTTTCTGAAATTGTACTACAAGGTTCCATATCACAAAGGGAAAGCTGGGTTTGAGTTTGGGGGTAATTGCCCGAAACGTTTAGGAATTTGGGGCCAAAAAGGGGCCAAAAAACACATTTTTCTAGTTTCCAGACAATAACTTGTGTTCAAGTGTATGGATCTCTCTGAAATTGTACTGCAAGGTACCATACCACAAAGGGAAGGCTGGGATTGAGTTTGGGGGTGATGAATCATAAGGGGGTTCAAAAAATTTGGGGGGGGGGGGATTTTTTTTTTTTCCTTTCTTTTCTTTTTTTCCTTTTTTTTTCTTTTAAAATTTTCCATTTTAAGTTGGTTATTTCTGATTTATATTTAAAAGCAAATAATAATGATATGGTAGGAGATACACAGCAAACAGGATGTGTAAATTATTATATATAAAGTATTGTGCAATAGCAAGAAATTTTCAATTGCACAGTATTGTGCAATAGCAAGAAATCTTCAATTGCACAGTATTGCGCAATAGCAAGAAATATCCAATAGCACAATATTGCGCAATAGCAAGAAATTGTCAATTGTACAGTATTGCGCAATAGCAAGAAATATTTAATTGCACAGTATTGTACAAAAGAAGATACTTCGTATAAATTGCTTATTTCTTGACCAATTTCAATGGGGTTTTATTCTTGAATTCTTGGGGTTCTTTAATATGCTGAGTCTAACCGTGTATTTAGTTTTTGGATTTTGGGCCCCGTTTTTAAATTGGTCCACATTGAGGTCCAAAGGGTTCAAAATTAAACTTTGTTTGATTTCATCAAAAATTGAATTATTGGGGTTCTTTGATATGCCGAATCTAACCGTGTATTTAGATTCTTAATTTTTGGTTCCGTTTTCAAATTGGTCTACATTAAGGTCCAAAGGGTCCAAAATTAAACTTAGTTTGATTTTAACAAAAATTGAATTCTTAGGGTTCTTTGATATGCTGAATCTAAACATGTATTTATATTTTTGATTATGGGCCCAGTTTTCAAGTTGGTCCAAATCGGGGTCCAAAATTAAACTTTGTTTGATTTCAACAAAAATTGAATATTTGGGGTTCTTTGATATGCTGAATCTAACCATGCATTTAGATTTTTGATTTTTGGGCCCCGTTATCAACTTTGTCCACATTGAGGTCAAAAGGGTCCAAAATTAAACTTTGTTTGATTTCATCAAAAATTGAATTCTTGGGGTTCTTTGATATGCTGAATCTAACCATGTATTTAGATTTTGGATAATGGACCATAATAGGTGAATGTCCAATTTAAAATTTTTAAGTTCTTAGACCACATTCATTCTGTGTCAGAAACCTATGCTGTGTCAAATATTTAATCACAATCCAAATGCAAAGCTCTATCAAGCTTGAATGTTGTGTCCATACTTGCCCCAACTGTTCAGGGTTCGACCTCTGCGGTCGTATCAAGCTGCGCCCTGCGGAGCATTTTATTGACATTTATTTCACATCTCTATTTTATTTATTTTAGGATAGAGATTTTGGAAAACATATGTTATTTCGTGTACATGTGAATCCTCCAGCTGAATTAAGGACTTCCTTGACAACTTACCTCAAATTTACTGTACAGAAAGCTTATATAGGGCAAGACATTTTCTGGGCATTAGCTCCTAACGAAGATGATTACATAGAAGTAATACTGAAACCACCAGTTGCTTTAGATGAGTAAGTATTTAACAACTGTGAGATTTCTTTTATTGGGGCCAGTTTTTGTTGCTTGTGTCTGTTAGGCTTGAATTTGCTGCTAGGCTTGAGTGCAAGATATTGTGAGTTTAATCCCTGGACAGGTCAAGGCTTAATAATTATTATTTGTAACACTGCTAACTCTTGCCCACTGAATATGACACGTTTATCTTGCTGCATTGGAAGAAATTGTCAACTTTAATGTGTTTTACCAAAAATGATGTGGTGAAAGTATTTTTATGCCCCCGCCGTAGCTTTACTCTTGGACGTCTGTACGTACGTTCCAAAATTGGTTTCCGTTCTCTAACTTGAGTTTGCTTAACAAATGTTATGAAACTTATACACAATGCTTATTACCACAAAACACAGATCAAGTTTGAATTTTGGTGGCGTCACTTTTTCCGTTCTAGAGTTATGCCCCTTTACAGATGGAAAAATTGCTGAATTTTTCGTTTCCGTTCTCTAACTTTAGTTTGCTTCAACCAAATGTTTTGAAACTTATACACAATGCTTATTACCACAAAACACAGATCAAGTTTGAATTTTGGTGGCATTACTTCAACTGTTCTAGAGGTATGCCCTTTACAGATGGGATCCAGCAGCCAAAATTGTGTAAACATCCATCACAATTTATGACAAGTTAACATCATTGACGTTGCCCAGGAAAATAGCAATGAACAGATTATCTGTGATCTTTCAACTCAGGAATTTCTCAGCTACATGAGATTGTAGCTGAGAAACTCTCTCTCGTTTTCAAATCTACTGTGGATTCATTTATTTTCGTGGATTAAGGAAATCTTACGTATTCGTGGATATTTAATTTCGTGGTTTTCCCTAGTCTGCATACAAGCCTATAGAAAATATGTCATTCGTTGAACATTTAATTTCGTGGTTCACGAAAATTGGTATCCAACGAATAATTATGAATCCACAGTATTATAAGTATGTGACTACCTGAAGAATGATAAATAATAGGTCATTTAAAACACTGCACTGATTGATTTTTCTAATTACAAGGGCAAAGAAATTGCCTTATCTTATCTTATACTTTGGTATAAACAGTGCATTTTTTACAGCAAATTAAACCAATGAGCAGAATGAATTAAAATTTATTGCATTCAGTCCATGATTTATCCATTAAATTGGACAGTTATTACTTTTTATAGTTGTTTTTATACGACCGCAAAAATTAAAAATTTTTTGGTCGTATATTGGTATGACGTTGGCGTCGTCGTCGTTGTCGTCTGGCGTCGTCCGAAGACACATTGGTTTTTCGCACTCTAACTTTAGTTTAAGTGAATGGATCTCCATGAAATTTTACCATAAGGTTCAATACCACGAAAGGAAGGTTGGGATTGATTTTGGGGGTTATGGTACCAACAGTTAAGGAATAAGGGGCCAAAAATAAGCATTTTTGTAACTTCCAGACAATAACTTGTGTGTAAGTGTATGGATCTCTCTGACATTGTACCACAAGGTTCCTTATCACAAAGGGAAGGCTGTAATTGATTTTGGGGGTAATTGCCTCAAAATTTTAGGAATTAGGGGCCAAAAAAGGGGCAAAAAACAAGCATTTTTCTAGTTTCATGACAATAACTTGTGTGTAAGTGTTTGGATATTTCTGAAATTGTACTACAAGGTTCCATATCACAAAGGGAAAGCTGGAATTGAGTTTGGGGGTAATTGCCCGAAACGTTTAGGAATTGGGGGCCAAAAAGGGTCCAAAAAACACATTTTTCTAGTTTCCAGACAATAACTTGTGTTCAAGTGTATGGATCTCTCTGAAATTGTACTGCAAGGTACCATACCACAAAGGGAAGGCTGGGATTGATTTTGGGGGTGATGAATCATAAGGGGGTTCAAAAAATTTGGGGGGGGGGATTTTTTTTTTGTCTTTTTTTGTCTTTTTTTCCTTTTTTTTTTCTTTTAAAATTTTCCATTTTAAGTTGATTATTTCTGATTAATATTTAAAAGCAAATAATAATGATATGGTAGGAGATACACACCAAACAGGATGTGTAAATTATTATATAATAAGTATTGTGCAATAGCAAGAAATTTTCAATTGCACAGTATTGCACAATAGCAAGAAATCTTCAATTGCACAGTATTGCGCAATAACAAGAAATCTTCAATTGCACAGTATTGCGCAATAGCAAGAAATATCCAATAGCACAATATTGCGCAATAGCAAGAAATTGTCAATTGTACAGTATTGCGCAATAGCAAGAAATATTCAATTGCACAGTATTGTGCAAAAGAAGATACTTCGTATAAATTGCTTATTTCTTGATCAATTTCAATGGGGTTTTATTCTTGAATTCTTGGGGTTCTTTAATATGCTGAATCTAATCGTGTATTAAGTTTTTGGATTTTGGGCCCCGTTTTTAAATTGGTCCACATTGAGGTCCAAAGGGTCCAAAATTTAACTTTGTTTGATTTCATCAAAAATTTAATTATTGGGGTTCTTTGATATGCCGAATCTAACCGTGTATTTAGATTCTTAATTTTTGGTTCCGTTTTCAAATTGGTCTACATTAAGATCCAAAGGGTCCAAAATTAAACTTAGTTTGATTTTAACAAAAATTTAATTTTTAGTGTTCTTTGATATGCTGAATCTAAACATGTATTTATATTTTTGATTATGGGCCCAGTTTTCAAGTTGGTCCAAATCGGGGTCCAAAATTAAACTTTGTTTGATTTCAACAAAAATTTAATATATGGGGTTCTTTGATATGCTGAATCTAACCATGCATTTAGATTTTTGATTTTTGGTCCCCGTTATCAACTTTGTCCACATTGAGGTCATAAGGGTCCAAAATTAAACTTTGTTTGATTTCATCAAAAATTGAATTCTTGGGGTTTTTTGATATGCTGAATCTAACCATGTATTTAGATTTTGGATATTGGACCATAAAAGGTGAATATCCAATTAAAAATTTTTAAGTTCTTAGACCACATTCATTCTGTGTCAGAAACCTATGCTGTGTCAAATATTTAATCACAATCCAAATTCAGAGCTGTATCAAGCTTGAATATTGTGTCCATACTTGCCCCAACTGTTCAGGGTTCGACCTCTGCGGTCGTATCAAGCTGCGCCCTGCGGAGCATTTTATTTTTTTATCTTATTACAGGATTTTATTTCGGAGTGGGAAAGCTGATCACAGAGAAGACAAGTTTTACAATACATCATTACAAGTTATTCCTCTTAATTATCATGATCCTATTAAAAACAGGGCAAAGAAAACCAAAGATGGATACTTTGATTTAGCAGAATTTGATAAGGAAGGAATTGTACATGTTACATTAGAAAGTGATGTGGGAAAACTCTCAAAAATAAGAATAAAAGTGCATAAGTCAAGTGAAAACTGGGTTATACTTAGTGAGGTAAGCAATGCATAAGTCAAGTGAAAACTGGGTTATACTTAGTAAGGTAAGCAATGCATAAGTCAAGTGAAAACTGGGTTCTACCTAGTGAGGTAAGCAATGCATAAGTCAAGTGAAAACTGGGTTATACTAAGGGAGGTAAGCAATGCATAAGTCAAGTGAAAACTGGGTTATACTTAGTGAGGTAAGCAATGCAGGATCTGAAATGAGTTATTTTATTAATCAAGGCAAAATCTGAAAAAGAGTCAAACTTAGTGAGGTATGCAAGAAGTCATCAAAGATATCATTATTAATTATAATTTAGTATGCCAGATATCATATACAAAAGTGGTAGCCAATTCAAATTAGTTGGATGGCTGGAATAATGTTGAAGAGAATTGAAAACCAAAAATTTAAAGTTTTGCTAAATCTAGAAAAGGCCATGTTACCTAAGAAACCTCCTTAGTGTAACATTTTATCAACATTAAATTTTCAGAGAATATCCATGTCCATGATATTTAATGTCAGCATAGTAGCGTATGTAATGATTTTAACATTTTATTTTTACAATAAATTTACAAAAAATAAACAATTATTAATTGTTATGTCCTGTTAGACAATACATTTATTTGAACTATCATAACATTATAGCTGCTTATATGTTACAACATGATTTAATATTTTTTACTTTGTATTATGATGAGTTGATATCAAGGGAGTGAAGTTTCACTTTACACAACATTGGAAACAGTTTTTATTTTTAAGTTGGTTTGCATTACAATAGAAATATCTGTCAAAGTGTATGGATATTTTCTGCCATAAATGTATGATTTGATTTTAACAAATTAATTTTAAATGTGTTGCCAGTTTACTCACATTTGCATAATTGTTATGTTTACAATTTGTGACAAAAAAATTAAGTACAATACAGATACTGACATGTTTTTTAATTACAGATTCTTGACATGTTTTTTAATTACAGATTCATCTTAAACAGAGAATCCCAAAACAAAGCTAGCATTAGCCTCTATGTAAAAACTGACTGAGATATGCTGCCTGTTTCATTATTTGGTTCCAACCCAGAAGATGAGGGTCTTCTCCCCTGTTCAAGGAATGTTTGTATAATTATAACATGGTTGGATCCAAGTGCCAAGTACTTACCGGTGTAAATCTACAAAGAGTCTATATTACATGTACAGTGATTTAAATCATGGTCATCAGTCTCAAAGAAACAGAGATCAAAGACAATCTACGGGTTCAAAACTTAAAATAGTACGATTTTATAACAATCATATTTTACCTTCTGTTTTAAGTTAATCAATGCATATTTTAGAATATATACTACAAATATTTTAGCAGATCTCCTAATGCAAATGAAGATACCCTATAAAACCAGAAAATGATCAGTGATTGCCCAGTCAACACCTATTTGAATATACATATAAGATATTTTTATAACAAAAATTTCAAAACTAAAAATATTTCTATTTCTCCATAATTGAAAAACATGGCATAGAAATATCATAATTCACATCAATTTTATGTGATGTTTGTTTTAGAAATGTCAATATGGTTATATGTATTTAAAGAACTAATTTTAATTATAGATTAGTCTAAATTTTGTTTTTTACTTTCAAGTGTTTGTGCAGCAGAAGTGTTTCTTTTTATGGACTTGACTCCTTTGTATTTTTATGGTAGTGAATTGATAACATTATTATATTAATTATTTATGTTGTAATTTTCTTTTTATACAATTATATTATAGCTTATTGTTCTGACACTTAATTGAATCATCTACTTACATGTAGTTGCTATTTAGTTCACATCATTTGAGTTATGTTTCTTTAAACTGTGGACCCATAAACATATTACTTGGTGGAAGAGGACATATATATCAGTCAACAAAATCAAGGTTACTTTGACCTAATATATTTTACAGTTTATTCATATTACCTAAGTTAAGTAAGTTCTCACCCTTTATTTTTGTTCATTCACTCTGAAGTTCATATATATAAATTAGTGGTTTATCTTGTCAATTCTGGGACACAGCAAACATTGTAATTTTTTATGATCTATATTTTATATCACCTTTTAGTCTAAAAACATAATCTGAGAATTTTTAATCATACATATAATTTTAATTGTGAGAGAAGTTTCTGAAATGACTATGTGCTATTATAAACAAATGGACAATATCTGTACTTTGTTATGCCCACCTAGGGGCATTATGTTTTTCGGTCTGTGCGTCCATTCGTCCGTCTGTCCCGCTTCAGGTTAAAGTTTTTTGGTCAAGGTAGTTTTTCATGAAGTTGAAGTCCAATCAACTTAGTACACATGTTCCCTATGATATAATCTTTCTAATTTTAATGCCAAATTAGATTTTTGGTCCACTGAAAATAGAAAATGATAGTGCGAGTGGGGCATCCATGTACTATGGACACATTCTTGTTTTTGAATATCTATTATTTTTGTTTAAGTGTGAAAAACAGAACTGTGAGCTTTTCTGATATTTTGTGCTATGTACATAAATAGAATCAGTACAGAGATTGCAAAGAAAATGAACTAAAAATAACCAATTTACAGAATTATAAATTAAAGTTAAGTCAAATTAACTTTTATCAGTTGCTTCATTTCAGAAAAAAAGTTGGTTTGTCATAAGGGGCAGATATGTTTGCAATGTTTATTTTTACTTAGTCATATTTCATAGGTTGTTTTGTTGATATCACCCAGCGACTCTTTTCACAAAAAATATTACGATTAAAATTGATCCTAAGCTATACTGAAATGTGTATGATCTGCGAGTATTTTTACTCAAGATTTTTTGTGAAAAGAGCCGCTGGTTCATAGGTCCTAACCCAAGTTATTGAAACCAGTCAGTCATATGGGAAGAACATAGACAAACCCTTACTCAAAAAGAAATAAAAGGGCCTCTCTCATACCGTTTGTGAAACTATTAACCTTTTCACTGTTGCCAAAATATACTTGTATACTACAGAAGGTGCTATAAGTTGTTTTATTTACTAGTCTTATTTAAGGATCAGGTGCTACTAATCAAAATATTTTGTCATACTTGTTAGGAAAGTCTAGTCATGGTGTAGAATGTGTTCATAAAGTATATGCCTGTAATTTTGCCAATTTTATAACCCAGCCACTACTAGACTGTAGTGATATATATGATTTTCCCCATTAAGGATAACTTCAAGCATTTATTATTAAAAGGAAATGTAGTGTATTGCCTATTTGTGAATGTTCTATCACATGAAAACATAATATTTTCTTTCCTTGCTCATTTCACACTTGGGTATTAAAGTCACTCCCTTGCTTTTATTTAAATCACTATATGTAGATTTTTAATGGGAGATAATTGGGGTTTTAAGCTTAGGTTAGGGAATATTTTGATATACAAGAAATAAAATTGAGAATGGAAATCGGGAATGTTTCAAAGAGACAACAACCCGACCATAGAGCAGACAACAGCCGAAGGCCACCAATGGGTCTTCAATGCAGCGAGAAACTCCCGCAACCAGAGGCGTCCTTCGGCTGGCCCCTAAACAAAAATGTTTAGGTACTAGTTCAGTGATAATGGACGTCATACTAAACTCCAAATTATACACAGGAAACTAAAATTAAAAATGATACAAGACTAACAAAGGCCAGAGGCTCCTGACTTGGGACAGGCGCAAAAATGCGGCAGGGTTAAACATGTTTTTTGAGATCTCAACCCTCCCCTATACCTCTAGCCAATGTAGAAAAAACAAACGCACAACAGTACGCACAGTAAAACTCAGTATAAGAGAAGTCCGAGTCTGATGTCAGAATAGGAAACAAAAAAAAATAAACAAAATGACAATAATACATAAATAACAACACAGTACTAGCAGTTACTGACATGCCAGCTCCAGACCTCAATTAAACTGATTGAAAGATTATGTCTTCATCATATGAATATCAGGCACAATCCCTCCTGTTAGGGGTTTAGTATTATACCTTCATAAAATATATGAGAAGAACATAACCTGTGTCATGCCAACAACTGGTTTTAGAATAAATGTGTTTAATTCCGATGCAAAGACCCTATAAGTGAATCAATATTAAAGCGCCAAAATATGCAATCTTTAATGACCTGACAACAGTATCGTAACTATATCCCTTCTTAATAAGTCTGTTTAAAGGTTTTGTTAGCTTTTGAGGTGAATACTGACATTTTTATTGTGCTTTGTAAAGAATATTACCATAAAAGATTGGATGTGAAATACCCGAACGTATAAGATGTCTGCATGTTGAGTTATATTTACGAATGATGTCCTTATACCGATGATAAAATTTAGTAAATGTTTTGACTAGTTTATGATATCGAAAACCCTGGTGTAATAATTTTTCAGTAAAACATAAATTTCTCTCGCTAAAATCTAATATGTTGTTACATACACAAGCGATTCGTACAAGTTGAGATATATAAACACCATAAGATGGTGACGAGGGAACGTCACCATCTAAAAATGGATAATTAACAATAGGAAATGAAAAATCATCTCTTTTATCATAAATTTTTGTTTTAAGCTTCCCGTTAATGATATAGATATCAAGATCGAGGAAAGGGCAGTGGTCATTGTTAGTATTAGCTTTATTTAAAGTAAGTTCAACAGGATACATTTCTTTAGTATACATACTGAAGTCGTCATTATTGAGAGCCAATATATCATCCAAATATCTAAAATTTTTGTATCAGATGTTGTTTCGATGGGTCTTTGCTGATTTTAGTCATAAATTGTAACTCATAACAATACAAAAACAGGTCCGCAATAAGTGGTGCACAGTTAGTCCCCATTGGAATTCCGATAACTTGACGATATACGGAATCTCCAAAGCAAACAAAAATGTTATCAAGTAAAAATTCAAGGGCAGATATAGTATCAAAGCATGTCCAATCGACATAGTTCTTTTGTTTGTTGCTACTAAAAAATGACCTAAAAGAGTTTGAACATATGTATTCGCATTCCGACTTTTTAAATGCCCATTTAATTAGGTGTGTGAATTTTTTCTTAATAAGAATATGAGGCAAAGTGGTATACAGGGTAGAAAAATCAAAACTTTGAACAGATTCAAAATCACAAATATATGCATGCAATTTTTATCAAGTACTTCCAACGAGTTTTTGACACTCCAAAAGTAATTAATTCCACTATTTTCAAAGGCCTTATTTGAACAATTTATTATCAGGTTTTTGATTGTACCAAGTGTACTAGTAAGTAGAATAGACAATTTAGTAATGGAACAATGACTTGAAGACGAAATAAATCTATATTTGTAAGGTGACTTGTGTAGCTTCGGATTAAAGTCTTAATATTGATGGATAATTAACATCTCCAAAAGAGCATAATAGGGGGAATACTGGCCTTTGGTAGACTTTATCTTTCAATTCTCCCTTTGCCATTTGGGTTAGAGTATGACAAGCATGTTTTTTTTACTTAGTAAGATGTACAATAGATTTATTGTGAATATTTTTAATAAACATACAGCTTATAATTTTGTATTATTGTTTCATATTAAATAATCAATAAAGTTAAGTTCAGAAATGTAACAACTTTTTATTGTATGTTTAATTTGTGTATTGGGATCTGTTTTTTCATTTTGTAAATGTATAGTATTGAATGAAAAAATTATTAGCATTGTTCTGGAGCTTTTATATCTTGTGTTTATTTTTCATAAACATCTTGCAATTGAAATTTTTATACCCCTCCCCCCTGTTTTACTACCTCTGTCTGTCTGTTTGGCAGTTCTAGATTCATTGATCTTCAACTTCCTATTTACTGAATATTTATATATATTCTAACACATTATATGCCATGTATGAAATTTTTATCGCAATTTTCTAGGGAACTACAAGTTAGAGCTTTCTGAAATTTCTTTACAGTCTTCATGTGAAAATGCTTTATCATGTAATGCAGTTTCAGATTAATGGTTTTCAATTTCCTATTTACCAAATACTTAAATATTCTAACACATTATTGCCATGTATGAAATTTTTGTCATATTTTTCTGTCCGTCGTCAACATGTCGGACATTAACTCAAAAACACTTTAACCAATTTGCATAAAACTTTATCGAATTGTTTATATCTATTGACGTGAGCTCCCTTTCATTTTTTATAAATTTTAAATTTTACGTTTCTGAGTTATGGGGTTTTATTCTTTAAAAAAAGGGTGATTTTCCAGTTTTCGGACAATAACTCAAGAATGCTTTCACCAACTTGCGTGAATTGTTTATATCTATTGACATGAGCTCCCTTTCGATTTTTATAAAATTTAGATTTTATGTTTCCGAGTTACAGGATTTTATTCATGAAAAAGGGGGATTTTCCTGTTTTTCGGACAAAAACTCAAAAACGCTTTCAGCGGTTCTTATGAAACTATGGTGAATTGTTTATATCTATTTAAGTAAGCTCCCTTTAGAATTTTATAAATTTTACATTTTACATTTCTGAGTTATGGGGTTTTATTCATTAAAAAAGGGGGGATTTTCCAGTTTTCGGACAATAACTCAAAAATGCTGTCAGCAATTTTCATGAAACTTTGGTGAATTGTTTATATCTATTGATGTAAGCTCCCTTTTGATTTTCATAAATTTCTAATATGACATTGAGAATTAATTGAACTTTATTTGTTTATAGTCTGACAACAGATTTACTAAGTATTGCGCAACAGCACAGTGTATTGCACAACAGTGTATAGCACAACAGCAAGAAATCTTTAATTGAATATAAATTCAATTCATATAACCAATTTCAAGTTCTTTGACAACATTTATTCAGAAACCTGTAATATGTCAAATATTTAATTACAATCCAAATTCAGACCTGTATCAAACTTGAATATTGTGTCCATTTTTGCCCCAACTGTTCAGGGTTGGACCTCTGCGGGTGTATCCAGCTGCGCTCAGTGAAGCAGTTTTTATACAAATGTCCGGTGTCCGTCCGTCCGTCTGTCTCTCCGTCGTAAACATGTCGCACCGTAACTTGAGAATGACTTATCCAAATTTCATGAAACTTAATATAGTTGTTTCTTATGATGGTCAAACGATCTGTATACTTTTTGGTGAAAATAAGATTAAAAAAACTTTTTGAGTTACGGGACTTAGTAACAGGTGTGTGTTTTTTTTCACATGTCGCGCCTTATCTCAAAAACAATTAATGATTATTGCTTAAAACTTTACACACTTCTTAGTTATATTAATCTTAAGATCTGTATACTTTTTGGTGATGATTCAAAATTTTATTTTAGAGATATTGAGTATTTTTTTTAAAAAAGGGGAGGGGTTTTTCACATGTCGCGCCGTATCTCAAAAACGATTTATGATTATTGCTAAAAAGTTTACACACTTCATAGTTATATTAATCTAAAGATCTGTATACTTTTTGGTTTTGATTCAAAATTTTATTTTAGAGATATTGATTTTTTTTTTTTTTAAAAGGGGGGGTTTTCACATGTCGCGCCGTATCTCAAAAACGATGTATGCTTATTGCATAAAAATTCACACACAAGACGACAGGCGTATCATGGGCTCATGGCGCAGCTGTTTATTTTGTTTTGCCATGAGGAAATTGAAAAAGAACTTTGAATGTTTTGCATACTTTACATGTTTAAAAATTTCAGTAAGATTCAACATTTGCATTACTATCAAAATAACAATAAAGGTGAGACATATCTCTGTGTCAACAAGTTATTACTGATAGATGGAATTTATATAAAAATAATGTGGTACGATTCCCAATGAGACAACTCTCCACCCGAGACCAAATGACAGAAGTTTTATTTGCAGTTATCATTAACATACGGTATTAAATCAATAATTTTGTCTGACCTTCATAATATGTTATGACACTGGGACAGAACTCTCTACAAGATTAAGAAATAGCATATGATGAGAAAAATTTGATTTTAAAATATTTTTTCCGTATTTTTACTGATAAATGGATTAAATTTTGACATTCATCATTATACTTTTACTCTGACAGCAGCAATAGCAGACTAGACAAAGGTTTTCATGGCCCTAAACAAGTTTTTTTTTTATTTTCAGAAAGTTTTTTTTTATTAAACCTTTCTGCTCATATTTTATTATAAAAATTTCCTCAATTAGTTTCCTTTCTAATCACATAATACTTGTATTTTTGTGTAAAATCATTGCAAAATACTGGTATGAAAATCTTGTACTGCCTGCAGTTAGAAGACAACATGGTAACCTATCTTGATTACTCCTACACTACAGTCATCTCCATTTGATGTAAAATTACATTTTGATGAAATTTCTGAATTAATATGTGCTCTATTATGAAAAGGACACTCCATTGTACAAACTATCTTATTTTAATATTTGATATGTAGAAAGTTCCTTTAGGGTAATCTCATTCTTGTTTTCAATGATTTCATAGTTGAATTCCTATAATAATTGTTCATTAACTTCCAATATGCCTAGTTTTGAACCACATATATATGATGTGTGTGCATCCTACAGGTTAAAGTATTATAACAGTATTACACAATGTAGATATAATAGGTATTTTGTAGTTTTTAGTGCCACTTTGATAGAATAATTATATATTGATATGTTAGAATTTTTACATCTTTTCATTGAATCATAAGCACTTTTTAGTTTATTTTTATATCCATTATTAATGCCTGATTATATTCTATTGTTTTTCAAGGTAAAGATCATAAATGCAATCTACACCCTTATGGGAATGACTTTCTAGTTATATTTTCCAAACATTATCAGGGACCTCAGTGGCCGAATGGTCTAAGTAGTTACTACTGTAATCACTAGCCAGTCAACACTGAGGTTTTGAGTTCGAACCCCGCTCGTGCTGGTGCACTTAATTCCAATCTTAATTGACTAGGATTGTCAGTTTTCCTATCGAAGGTCGGTGGTTTTCTCAGGGCACTCCGGCTTCCTCCACCAATAAAAACTGGACGCCACGAAATAACCCAAAAGCGGTGCTTAAAAGTGGCGTTTAAACACCAAAATTCAAATCAAATCAAATCCAAACATTATCACTACTTTTGAGAGCCAAAACACAGTGCATTGAGCACAACATTCTATTTGCTAACATTTTAAGAAATTTATCAATAAAATATATACTCAGATATATAACACTTTATTAGTGATTTTTGTGTATATATTAGTAAAGTCACATCAATGCTCAATTAAAGTAATATTTTACAAGTCAATTAAGGGTTTGATTGGGAGCAAATAATAAAATAACTAAATAAATAGAAAATATAAATGTTTTCTAAACTTAACGTTCTTTTAAAATAATAATCACCTAAATTTGTTTAAAACTAATCAGTCTTTCAAAGACCAATAATAAAGATAAGACAGGGAGTTTCCATTTAGAATTTTTGCCATGAATAATTATGAACAACCAGCGAAACTAAAAATAAACCAGAATTTGAATTAGTTTAAAGCATTTAAAATCAATCCTGAGAAAACAAACTTATTATTTTCACATTAATCAGAAGAATACATAGATGTAGTATTCATTTTGTTCAAAAAACAAAAAAAAATCAACTTTTGAGCTGGTATTTCATATTTTCTGTTATTGTTTTGTTTTGTGAAACATTTCAAGTGTAATGCATTGAGTTTTAAGAGAACTACCATTTAACTCTAGAGGGGGGTTATTGTTTTTCTATAAAAATATATTCTGATTCCCATCTTTGAAGAAATATATATTTTAATCAAGCAGAAGGAAGAAAAACATTCTGATTTAGTCTTTGCCATTAATTTTAATGTTAAGTTCTCAATTAGGTTCTTGTGTAATACTATTAAAAAAAAATCCAGAATGAAAAAAAAGCCTTTAAATGGTTGTTCCCTTAGTAAATGTTAATGGTTTTAATGATTTTTGTTATAGTAGATTGTTTTGTGCAATAATTTGTTCATACTGTTGATGCTTCAATGTTATATGCAAATTTAAAATCAGCAAATGCCAAAAAAAAAAAATTGTCAAAATGTATTAAAAAATAAATCATTGAAAAAGTTTTTGTAATTATTACTGTTACAACATATAACACAAGTACTAACATTATCTTTGATAGTCCCCTACTGACGAAGTCAAAGGGGAATTTTGGTTTGCACTCCGTCTGTCTGTCTGTCTGTCTGTCCATCCGTCAGTCCGGCAAATAAGTTTTCCACACTTTTTTTATGCCCCCACCATAGGGGAGGGGGCATTAAGTTTTACCCTTGTCCGTCTGTACATACGTCCGTCCGTACGTCCATACATCCCAAAGTTGGTTTCCGTTCTCTAACTTTAGTTTGCCTCAACCAAATGTTATGATACTTATACACAATGCTTTTTACCACAGAACACAGATCGAGTTTGAATTTTGGTGGCTTCACTTTAACCGTTCTAGAGTTATGCCCCTTTATAAATGAAAAAATTGCTAAATTTTTAGTTTCCATTCTCTAACTTAAGTTTGCCTCAACCAAATGTTATGAAACTTATACACAATGCTTATTACCACAAAACACAGATCAAATTTGAATTTTGGTGGCGTCACCTAAACTGTTCTAGAGTTATGTCCCTTTATAAATGGAGAAATTGCAAAATTTTTAGTTTCTGTTCTCTAACTTAAGTTTGCCTCAACCAAATGTTATGAAACTTATACACAATGCTTATTACCACAAAACACAAATCAAGTCTGAATTTTGGTGGCGTCACTTTAACCGTTCTAGAGTTATGCCCCTTTATAAATGGAAAAATTGCAAAATTTTCATTTTCTTCTAAATATCAAGTAATTTTTAAAATTGGAGTTATCTTCCTTTGTCCATGATTATAGTTGAATCAACTACAATCAATGCTTTATATAATGCAATGTTTAATTTTGTTTTCCACTGATAAAACACAGATCAAGTTGAATTTGGGTAGTGTCACTTTAACCTTTCTAGAGTTATGCCCTTTATAAATGGAAAAATTGCAAAATTTTTAGTTTCCATTCTCTTACTTAAGTTTGCCTCAACCAAATGTTATGAAACCTATACACACTATTCATTACCACAAAACTAAGATCAAGTACAAATTTTTTATTTCCGCTTTCTAACTTTAGTTTGCCTCAACCAAATGTTATTGAACTTATACACAATGCTTATTACTACATGATGCAGATTAAGTACGAAATTTGGTGGCGACACTTTTACCATTCTTGAGTTATGTCCCTTTATAAATATAAAAATTGCTGAATTTTTCGTTTCCGTTCTCTAACTTTAGTTTGTCTCAACCAAATGTTATAAAACTTATACACAACCATTCTAGAGTTATGCGTGTTTACAAATAGAAAAATTGCTGAATTTTTAGTTTCTGTTCTCTACTTAAGTTATCCTCAACCAAATGTTATGAAACGTCCACACAATGCTTATTACCACAAAACTCAGATCAAGTTCAAATTTTGATAACGTCTCTTTTACTGTTCTTCAGTTATGTCCCTTTATAACTATATGATATGCAAGCGGGGGCATCATCTGTGTCCACATGTGGACACTATCCACATTTATTTCTTCTTACTTGATTTGATATTTGATGTATTGTTTTATCATGACAAGTTACAAATTAAGTTGGAATTTTGTTCCGGTCTGATGATTTTGTGCAGAATTATGGACTTTGAAAATTCACTCAAATAATCAGTTTCCCACACTTTTTTTCGTCATGCTTGATGATATTGATTTGATAGTTGGTATATAGTTTTATCATGATAAGTTACAGATTGAGTTGGAATTTTGTTCTGGTCAGATGATTTTGTGCAGAGTTATGGTCCTTGGACTTAAAAAAATCACTTAAATAATCAGTTTTCAACACTTTTTTTGCTTGAAGTTATAGACTTGCTATTTGTTATATAGTTTACACCATGACAAGTTATAGATCAAGTTAGCATTTTGTTCCAATACAATGAATTTTTAACCGGTAGGTGACTAATACTCTCAGAATGCTTGTTCTTTTATTTTTTGAAACACTTGACACATACCGAACACTCCATAGAATACTGTTAAGTTTAATAGGCAGAGTTTACACAGATAGATGATCATCTCTTAAATATTGTTTTGAACATTAAATAGGCTCAGTTGACACAAATGGGCCAAATAACTTGAATATGGTTTCATTTATTAGCGAGATTGACACAAATGGACCACTATTTTTGTCTCACATTCGACAAAAGTCACAGAAAGGGAGGCATAGGTGTTGCTTTTCCGGCGGCGTTAGATGCTGCGGCCACAGAGGCGTCAACAATTGTTAAGTTTTCTGCTTAAGTCAGATTGATGGGAACTACTTGTGATAGATCAATGATATATTCTATAAAGTTGCATTACTATAAGTATATATCAGTTTGACAACTATTTTAAGGTCCTGCCCCTAGGTCATGATCCAGCAGCTTTCAATTAAGAAGCAATTTTTAATGTTAAGTTTTCTGCTTAAGTTAGTTTGATAGGAACTAATTGTGATACGATCAATGATATTTTCTATAAAGTTGCATTTAACTACCAGTATATATCAGTTTGACAACTGTTTCGAGGCCCTGCCCCCTAGGTCATGGCACAGTGTCTTTCAATTAATTAGCAATGTTGCTGTCCATCAGATTGTTTATTTTTAACCGGATTTTCGAAGTAAAATTCGGTTATTGATTAGGCAATGTACGGCGGGCGGCTGCCAAACAGTGTCCGTTCATTTACATTTTCAAATATAGATATGTTGTTTCCTGTGACCAAATGAAGGTCAAGTTCAATTTTCATGATTTTAGCTTTTCTCGTTAGTTAGTTATAGCCCTTTTCCAAGAATTCAATTTTTTATGAATTAATCCATTTCTGTACGAAGGGAAATAACTCATTTTTAAAAGACATTGTATTTATGATAAATGACATTTTGGATTTTTTTTTCCTTTTCTTTGGTAAATTGTTTGAACAATTTTGTGGTAGGTTTGTTTGTTATTCTGTATAAACTAATTGTCTGAGTGTGTGTTAATTTTAATTTTTACTTGATCCTGTTCCAGATTTGCAAATTTATTAGATAATAATCTATTTGTATTAAAGGATATATTTCATTACATTACATTGTGTAGATAAAGTTGTAGAATTTCATAGATAAGTTGCAGATCTTATGTGTTTTTAAATGATGTTCACCTTTTATCAAGATAACACACCATCTGGTAATTGTCAATCACCCAATTATAATTGTAGTGACAGATTTATTTGAAATCTTAATTGTATTAGATTATAATTTGAAAATAAATATAACATCATATCTAATTACATCATATCTAATTTTAGAGAACTATAGTTAAATCATATCTAATGTTAGATTTACTTTATTGGTTCATGGAAATAAAGTTATTTCCCTTTGAACAGAAATGGTTCAACTAAGAAGTATTTCATCAAAAATTGAATTCTTAGGGTTCCTTGATATGCTGATTCTAGCAATGTACATAGATTTTGGATATTGGACCACAATAGGTAAATGTCCAATTTCAAATTTTTCAGTTCTTTGACCACATTTATTTCGTGTCACTAACCTATGCTGTATCAAATATTCAATCACAATCCAAATTCAGAGCTGTTTTAAGTTTAAATGTTGTGTCCATACTTGCTCAACTGTTCAGGGTTTGACCTCTACAGGAAAATCCGGTCTGCTGTCTCTCTGACAGCCTCTTGTTGATTTTTCTGCCAACAGGCGATACATACATTTGTATATCTGTCAACAGTTAATTTAAATAGGTTTTTTTTAGGAAAAGTAAACACCAAAAGATATATTTTAGTATTGACTCATTTATTTGGCATTGTTGATACAAACAGAATAGGATCTATTGGATATTGCCGTTTATCATATACTTAGAGTGAATAACTTATAAATTATCAACTGCTTCCGGCTATTATCGCATGCTTTTCCTTAACATTATGGCATTCCAATGTTACTCTGCAATTTCCGGAAAATACACCTTGATGGTACGTTTTTCAGTGAAAAACATAACAAAGTAGGATACAAAACAAATATTAGGAAACAGGAAGATATCTTATGTAAAATGCAAAACAAATTATACTATAAAAGTTTCCAGCATAATTTAGCCAGTTACTTTACAAATGTTGACTTTTCCAAACAGTATTCTTTATGTTTTGTTGATTTTTTTTTATAGTCAATATAAAAATATATTATACTGTTGTGTTTCTCCTCTGTTGAGGCATATGGTAGAACATTTCATATCGAATATATTCACATTTGGCATCCGTCGTATGTAAACTTTTCAATTTTTGAACTTCTACTTGAGAACTACTTTAAAGGATCAATATATAAACTGTTATTTTTCTCCATTGTTGAAGCATATGATAAAAAGATCATAACATGTCATTTTTCATATCAGATGTATTATCAGCCTTTGGCTCTTTTTAATGAACACCTTTGCTCGAGAAATGTTTCATTTTTAAGGCACTTTTGACACAGGGATAACTTTCCGTGAAATAGTTTTACTTGTGAAGTCATATTATCTAGTTTATAAGACATTATCTAGTTTATAAGACATTATCTAGTTTATAAGATATCTTTTAAACTTTATAAGATATCTTGAAATTGGAATAAATATACAAAACAGCTTGCCATACCTTGGCCACTTACAGGATAAAATCTGAAATTTAGAGTTTCAGCAGTATATAATCTTATATTGGTCCCAGCTATGCAATATACTTGAACCAATTTTAATGATTTTACATATAAAACAAAATGTCTTTCAGGGATTATAATTAATTCAATTATTGTTAAAGACAATTTTGTAACAAAATTGGAAATTTTACAAGTTATTGTGGAATTTTTAACTGAAGGACATCTTAAACCAAATGTATTTATAACAGGCTATTATTTCAACTTGGATTTATTTTTAATTATGGAATTTGCATAATTTCTTGTGTTTGAAATTTTTAATAAATTCCATGTTTATTCTGTATTTTAATGTTCTATGCGGCGCACAACACTTTCTATTACAAAGAAGATAGCACATTTTCAATAG